GCCATTTATGCTGCGGCGCCCGGGGAGCAGTTGGGGGTTCGGTGCCTTGCTCAAGGGCACCTCAGTCGTGGTATTGAAGGTGGGAGAGAGCACTGTACATTCACTCCCCCCACCTACAATTCCTGCCGGTACGAGACTCGAACCCACAACCTTTGGGTTATGAGTCCGACTCTCTAACCATTAGGCCACCCCTAAGTGAAATGTCCAAATTGGGCCCAATTAGCCATTTTCTCTCCCCGGTGTCATGTGACTCATTAGTGTTACAAGGTCTCAGGTGTGAATGGGGAGCAGGTGTGTTAAATTTGGTGTTATCGCTCTCAATCTCTCATACTGGTCACTGGAAGTTCAACATGGCACTTCATGGCAAAGAACTCTTTGAGGATCTGAAAAAAATTATTGTTGCTCTAAATAAAGATGGCATAGGCTATAAGAAGATTGCCAAGACCCTGAAACTGAGCTGCAGCACGGTGGCCAAGACCATACAGCGGTTTAACAGGACAGGTTCCACTCAGAACAGGCCTCGCCATGGTCGACCAAAGAAGTTGAGTGCACGTGCTCAGCGTCATTGTGTTTGTGTTTGGGAAATAGACGTATGAGTGCTGCCAGCATTGCTGCAGAGGTTGAAGGGGTGGGGGGTCAGCCTGTCAGTGCTCAGATCATACGCTGCACACTGCATCAAATTGGTCTGCATGGCTGTCGTCCCAGAAGGAAGCCTCTTCTAAAGATGATGCACAAGAAAGCCTGCAAACAGTTTGCTGAAGACAAGCAGACTAAGGACATGGATTACTGGAACCATGTCCTGTGGTCTGATGAGACCAAGATAAACTTATTTGGTTCAGATGGTGTCAAGCATGTGTGGTGACGCCCTGGTGAGGAGTACAAAGACAAGTGTGTCTTGTCTATAGTCAAGCATGGTGGTGGGAGTGTCATGGTCTGGGGCTGCATGAGTGCTGCCGGCACTGGGGAGCTACAGTTCATTGAGGGAACCATGAATGCCAACATGTACTGTGACATACTGAAGCAGAGCATGATCCCCTCCCTTTGGCTGCAGGGCAGTATTCCAACATGATAACGACCCCAAACACACTGCCAAGATGACAACTGCCTTGCTGAGAAAGCTGAAGGTGAAGGTGATGGGGTGGCCAAGTATGTCTTCAGACCTGAACCCTATTGAGCACCTGTGGGGCATCCTCAAGCGGAAGGTGGAGAAGCGCCATGTGTCTAACATCCAGCAGCTCCGTGATGTCATTATGGAGGAGTGGAAGAGGATCCCAGCAACAACCTGTGCAGCTCTGGTGAATTCCATGCCCTGGAGGATTAAGGCAGTGCTAGATAACAATGGTGCTCACTAGGCATGGGCAGGTATGATATTTTGACGGTATGATAATATCACGGTTTCACGGTATTGTCGTTACAGCTCTAAAATGTGTTATTTTTAAATGACTGGGTAAAAAAAAAACGGACTTTTCCACTGAACACAATATATTTTGTTTTTGAGCAACATACAGAATATTACGAACAGTAGAATGTTTATTTTTTCTTTGATTTATTTCCTAAAAAGAAGAAGAATAAAGACATCTTTATTTAACCTAAATCTGTAATTAGTTATTTAATTGTAGTTATATAATTCATATACATAACACTTATATAATTTCATATCATTTAGTTATATAATTTCATATACATAATTTGATTTAATAATAACCCAATTTAAAACAAAAACAGAATGTTCTGTTCTGACTAGCTTTGTGAAATTATACTACACGCCTGAACGAAACAAACAGCAGTAGCTCTGAATGAGATGCAGATTCACTCTCTGACAGCAGGAGGCACTTCTCAAACACCAGATAGGGTGTTTCCTTGGTTACCGCTGTAAACAAAGCAGCACTGCGCTGAAACACTGCTTTAATATGAACTATACAGAGATGAGATTAAAAGAAAATACCACGTAAACTTTTCTGAAGACAGTCAGTTCCCCTCAGAAACACATTCATATAAACCCCCAAATCAATATTGAGAATTTTCTTCCAATAGTTTGTGCATGTGCGTCCATCTTCAGCGTCTCTGGCCTGTGTTAACGGGCAATTACAGACTTCATATTTTCACAAATTACATTTTGGAAAACGATTGCATTGCAACGCAGTTTGTGCAAGTCCAGAATAGAGACGAGTTGCTTGCAATAAGACAAAAAACGGCCAGTTGCCGATCGCGTAAGTTCCAGGGGCAGCTCCTTCAGTTCGCCCATCCTACACATGACTGACCGCTCGCTCGCACCAACAGGAGGGGGAGGGTCCTGTTACTCTCTACACTTCACTCAACCTGAGGTATTCCTACACTTTCAGTCTTTGAGGAGCCATGAAAAACAGCACATACCACAGGAACGGTATAACGGAAAATATTAGAGGTTTTGAAACTGTGACATTTTCAAATCACGGTATACCTAGAAACCGGTAATCGGCCCATGCCTAATGCTCACACAAAATATTGACACTTTGGACACAGTTTTGACATATTCATATGGTGTACTCACTTTTGTTGCCAGTTATTTAGACAGCAATGGCTGTATGTTGAGTTATTTTTAGAGGACAGTAAATCTGTACTGCTATACAAACTGCACATTGACTAGTCTAAAGTATATCCAATTTTCATTTCTATAGTATTGTCCCTTGACAACATATAATACAATGGTTGCTGAAATGTGAGGGGTGTACTCACTTTTGGGAGGTACTGTATATACACATATATATATATATATATATATACATACATACACAGTGGGTACGGAGCGTTACATTTTCGACGAGTGTTTGCGCTGTTCGGTCAATCACAATGCACTGGGTCAGCTGGCCAATCAGAGCAGACTGCGCTTGTCGGAAGGAGGGACTTTGTAGAAAACGAAGCGTTTGAGAGAGGCGGGGCATAGAGGACCTACAATAATGTACAGTATTTGAAAAATAATGTGTTTTTTGAACATTAAAGCATGTCAACATATTCTGTTACACCAAATACACAAAATAATGATCTTTAAAAAAGCATCATATGACCCCTTTAAATCACATGAGTCATTTGTACGGCTTGACATTAAGCATTCTGATGTGGTTGTCCTTCGGACAAGTAAATTTGTCATTTACTTGTCCGAGTATAAAAGTTACTTGCCCAGAGAGAAAAAAAATGCATTTAAATTGAATTATAAATATAATTATTTATTGTAGTTATACAAAACATAGAACAGTGTTTATAGAGTATATGTAGTAGATTTTGTGAGCATTAGTTTATTTAGTTAGATTTTTCTTTTTAAATAAAATAAAGTGAAATCAACTAAATTCATCTTTGCAATGCAGAGGAAACACAAAAGCTGCATATGAAGTGGAATAGATATATTTACCCACTGTTTAATGCAGCTCTGAGGGACATGGAATGCTTTAACCTGCAGTTACAAATTAATAAATAATGTTTTGATACATAAAATGTAGAATACTGATATTTGAAATCACTTAAAAAATTAAAAATAAATACTTTAAATGTGAAATTAAAACCGCCAGTAGGTGGCATCAAGTCACTGTTAATAAGAGAGTCATTCCGATTGAACCGAATCATTTAAAGTCCGTATAAAGTCAATATTAAATGTGTGTTCTGAGTTTATCACACCACAGAAAAATGTGTTATTAACCACCCAGCCAACTTTGAATGCTAAAAAAAATGCCAAGTGAATAAAATAAGCTATACAGTTGATTCATTCAGGAGCGAAACACTGTCATGTTGCTCAGAGAGACAAAGTGCTGTGACCGTGTTTGGAATTATTTCTGTTGGCGAAATAGAGAAAAAACAGGCAATATGGTGTCTAAAACATAAGTCTCTTAATATTAACTTCTTGTTTATTGAACTGTTGAAAAATCTAATTTGTAATCATGCTGATTTTTGGAGCAAAAAAAACGGCGCTCGATCTTCGTGTGATATTGTTTAAAGCTGCAGTTCGTAACTTTTGGTGCTCTAGCGGTTAATAAACAGAACTGCATGCGTCTTGCGGAAGAACATTGTAGCCGGAGCTACTTCTCTCCATTTATGTCTATGACGAATCACGCAGGTACTGGGCTACTCCGCAGCGGTACCTACCCGAACCAGTCTAAATAGTCCGACTATAAACACTTATTATAGGTGTACCGTAGTAATGTTCCCAGGTCCAGAAACGTAGTAAGGACATCGTTAAAACAGTCCATGTGACATCAGTGGCTCAACTTCAATTTTGCAAAGCTACGAGAATACTTTTTGTGTGCAACGAAAACAAAACTAACGACTTTATTCAACATTGTCTTCCATCATTTTGGAGAGCACCAAGGAGAGATTATTGGAGAGATTATTGGTAATCAATGTAATCAATTTGTGTTCCGGAAATGAACAGAGGTCTTACAGGTTTACATTACAACAACAACAGCGATGAAAAAAAACATGGACAAACCATTCACTCTTGTTCAATCCGAGTACTGTAATGTTTGCCAGTTTAAACATTTAAAAGCCAGAGGACGCAAGCTCGCGCGCAGTGAGAAGATTTGAGCATGAGCTCATCTGAAGCACTCAAATATTAAGCTCTCTCTGAAGTATTGTGTTTGAACGGACAAATTCACACAAAAATTATGTCAAAATGCCTGTCTTGGTAAATATCCTATAGCAGACACGGCCGGCTGAACGTACTGTATCAGTGCATTCTCTTAAAATTACAGCACTTTCTTAATATTAATTATAAAGCAACAACAAGGAAATCACTCACTGCTCTTTATTGAATAGCTTTTGTAACTTTAATAAAGATTCATCTTTAATTTATATGGTAAAATATGCAATACTATTTTACATTTAATTACTTTATACAATTTCTGTAACTAAAAACTGTTAGACTTACCTAAAAAAAACTGAAAATCACTGTTTATTTTATTTGTCTCTTTACTCTATTGTATTTATTTGTGCTGTTGCTTGTAGTTAGGTAGACTATTCTTATTTTCTTTATTTTTATTTGACAGTATAGGTTTTCCCTAAACATAACACATACCGAACCGTACCAAAACCGTGACTCTAAAACCGTGATACAAACCGAACCATGAGTAAGTTGAACCGTTCCACCCCTAGTAGCTGGTCTACATTTGATATTAGGAAAAAATACTATGGAAGTCTGTTCAACTGTTTGGTTACACACATTCTTCAAAATAACATTTATCATAACATCATCATATTGTTTTCTGTGAATGAGTGAGAAAGATGATATCCACATAATTTTGTAGCAAAAACTAGTCAACTAGTCTAAGTTCTCAAAAGTCTTGTGAACAAAATGTTCTGCATGTGTTTTATGGCCTTATTTCAGTGACTTAAACATTTAAACATTTCACTAACCACACATAAATTTGGTTGTTTTCTCACAAACATGCTACATTCATGCTGCTCACGTATTATTGTAACACAGTTTGTGCTAAATACAGTGTAATCAGACTTTAGCCATTTATATGTTTTTAAGATACTAAAAAAAACACAAATGTCAAGGCATGTGAAAACTTCTCCAGTGCCCCAAAACACCTCAGACTTCAGAGGGTTAAAGCTTCGTCAGCCTAATGTTACACAAACAGTCAAGGATGAATGAACAATAAACACCAACCTCCTTGTTCCTCCTGTTTTATTTTCCAGGTTTCTGGTTCCTCCTGTTTTATTTTCCAGGGTTCTGGTTCCTCCTGTTTTATTCTCCGGGGTTCTGGTTCCTCGTGTTTTATTCTCCGGGGTTCTGGCTCCTCGTGTTTTATTCTGCAGGTTTCTGGTTCCTCGTGTTTTATTACTTCTCTCCATTTATGTCTATGACGAATCACGCAGGTACTGGGCTACTCCGCAGCGGTACCTACCCGAACCAGTCTAAATAGTCCGACTATAAACACTTATTATAGGTGTACCGTAGTAATGTTCCCAGGTCCAGAAACGTAGTAAGGACATCGTTAAAACAGTCCATGTGACATCAGTGGCTCAACTTCAATTTTGCAAAGCTACGAGAATACTTTTTGTGTGCAACGAAAACAAAACTAACGACTTTATTCAACATTGTCTTCCATCATTTTGGAGAGCACCAAGGAGAGATTATTGGAGAGATTATTGGTAATCAATGTAATCAATTTGTGTTCCGGAAATGAACAGAGGTCTTACAGGTTTACATTACAACAACAACAGCGATGAAAAAAAACATGGACAAACCATTCACTCTTGTTCAATCCGAGTACTGTAATGTTTGCCAGTTTAAACATTTAAAAGCCAGAGGACGCAAGCTCGCGCGCAGTGAGAAGATTTGAGCATGAGCTCATCTGAAGCACTCAAATATTAAGCTCTCTCTGAAGTATTGTGTTTGAACGGACAAATTCACACAAAAATTATGTCAAAATGCCTGTCTTGGTAAATATCCTATAGCAGACACGGCCGGCTGAACGTACTGTATCAGTGCATTCTCTTAAAATTACAGCACTTTCTTAATATTAATTATAAAGCAACAACAAGGAAATCACTCACTGCTCTTTATTGAATAGCTTTTGTAACTTTAATAAAGATTCATCTTTAATTTATATGGTAAAATATGCAATACTATTTTACATTTAATTACTTTATACAATTTCTGTAACTAAAAACTGTTAGACCTACCTAAAAAAAACTGAAAATCACTGTTTATTTTATTTGTCTCTTTACTCTATTGTATTTATTTGTGCTGTTGCTTGTAGTTAGGTAGACTATTCTTATTTTCTTTATTTTTATTTGACAGTATAGGTTTTCCCTAAACATAACACATACCGAACCGTACCAAAACCGTGACTCTAAAACCGTGATACAAACCGAACCATGAGTAAGTTGAACCGTTCCACCCCTAGTAGCTGGTCTACATTTGATATTAGGAAAAAATACTATGGAAGTCTGTTCAACTGTTTGGTTACACACATTCTTCAAAATAACATTTATCATAACATCATCATATTGTTTTCTGTGAATGAGTGAGAAAGATGATATCCACATAATTTTGTAGCAAAAACTAGTCTATCACACCCAGTTCTCAAAAGTCTTGTGAACAAAATGTTCTGCATGTGTTTTTATTTGTCTCTTTACTCTATTGTATTTATTTGTGCTGTTGCTTGTAGTTAGGTAGACTATTCTTATTTTCTTTATTTTTATTTGACAGTATAGGTTTTCCCTAAACATAACACATACCGAACCGTACCAAAACCGTGACTCTAAAACCGTGATACAAACCGAACCATGAGTAAGTTGAACCGTTCCACCCCTAGTAGCTGGTCTACATTTGATATTAGGAAAAAATACTATGGAAGTCTGTTCAACTGTTTGGTTACACACATTCTTCAAAATAACATTTATCATAACATCATCATATTGTTTTCTGTGAATGAGTGAGAAAGATGATATCCACATAATTTTGTAGCAAAAACTAGTCTATCACACCCAGTTCTCAAAAGTCTTGTGAACAAAATGTTCTGCATGTGTTTTATGGCCTTATTTCAGTGACTTAAACATTTTAGTTTTTCACTAACCACACATAAATTTGGTTGTTTTCTCACAAACATGCTACATTCATGCTGCTCACGTATTATTGTAACACAGTTTGTGCTAAATACAGTGTAATCAGACTTTAGCCATTTATATGTTTTTAAGATACTAAAAAAAACACAAATGTCAAGGCATGTGAAAACTTCTCCAGTGCCCCAAAACACCTCAGACTTCAGAGGGTTAAAGCTTCGTCAGCCTAATGTTACACAAACAGTCAAGGATGAATGAACAATAAACACCAACCTCCTTGTTCCTCCTGTTTTATTTTCCAGGTTTCTGGTTCCTCCTGTTTTATTTTCCAGGGTTCTGGTTCCTCCTGTCTTATTCTCCGGGGTTCTGGTTCCTCGTGTTTTATTCTCCGGGGTTCTGGTTCCTCGTGTTTTATTCTCCGGGGTTCTGGTTCCTCGTGTTTTATTCTGCAGGTTTCTGGTTCCTCGTGTTTTATCCTCCGGGTTTCTGGTTCCTCGTGTTTTATTCCCCGGGGTTCTGGTTCCTCCTGTTTTATCCTCCGGGGTTCTGGTTCCTCGTGTTTTATTCTCCAGGGTTTTGGTTCACTCGTGTTCTCCTCACTCTCTTTAACAAACACCATCTTCACAGCAGATACTCCTCCAGATAGTCCTGCTTGCTTTAAATCTGTCACGAGGATGAGAATATTACAGGCATTTACGTTACTGGCCTGACTCAAAAACTGTATTTTTCTATTATAGACACAATATTTATAACAGTTTCTATTAAACCAGTATCACAACAGAGAGCGCGATGAAACTATTCTTCCTCCTCTGAGGTTTAATGGTGTTTGGCAAACAAACGTATGTGTTTTAGCGCTACCCGCTGGACTGGAGTGTGAAGCGTCGAGAGGAGCGAAATGAGGGGAAATTTATGTAGGGCGTCTGTAAACTCTTTGTTGAAAAAACCAGCATATGCTGGTAAGGTATGTTTTGAAGCTGGGATGCTGGTTTGAGCTGGTCCTTTCCTGGTTTATGATGGTCCTTTGCTGGTTTATGCTGGTCCTTAGCTGGTCATGTGCTGGTTTTAAGCTGGTCGGACCAGTTTAGGACCAGCACATGACCAGCTAAGGACCAGCTTAAACCAGCTCAAACCAGCATCCCAGCTTCAAAACATACCTAACCATCATATGCTGGTTTTTTCAACAGGGAGGTGTGCTGTTGTTTTTGTTGTTTTTTTTACAAAAAGCCGATCTGCACAAATAAATGAAAAGGAATTAAAATGATAGACTTGCATGTTATTAGATCAGATATTAGTGAGTATTAGAGGAGAAAAGTGAGCGAATTATTAGTGAAATATTTCATTTAAAATCACACAACTTTGCAGCATGTAAATATGTAAAATAAGATCAACAAGACATAACGACTGTGTTCACAAGTTTTGATATAGGATATTTTTGTGAGTATTTGTCCTTTCAAATTTAAAAAGACACCCACATAGCAATTGTTTTCTGGTCCAGCTCAGGTCCACACAACCACTTTTTCCTCAGCCCACATACCACAATGACGGCCCTGGAGTAGCCATAATCTGAATTAAAGACAGGGGCCACACAACTGGGCCAAGTCTCAGCCAGTTAATAACTAATAACTGGCCCTGAAGTGGCCCAGAAAAGGTTTCATTACTGGTATGGTCTTACTGGTCTTTAACCAGAAACCCCAAAACTGAGCCATACCCAGAATAATCTTGTCCAAATCATGTGCATAAATAAGTCACGAGAAAATGTAATTCTTCAAACTGTATGAACCTTCAAACTGTACATTTTTAAACTGCTCAAGAACAACTGGGAAGGGTGGTGGCTTAGCTTGTGTTCTTAAAAGCTGCTTCACTTGTTGACTTTAAAATCTGAGACTTTCTCCAGCTTTGAGGTACTTTTATTTAGTCTGAAAAGGGATAAAATCTTAGCGATTGCTATTGTATACCATCCTCCAAAGCCAAACAAAGACTTTATACATGATTTCTTAGGCGGAATTGCTTCTCAGATTGATAGATTTTTGATTGTTTGTGATTTTAATATTCGTGTCTGCAGTGATACAAATCCGCTTGCTAAAGAGTTAAAAAATCTTATTGACTCTTTTAGTCCAAATGGTTATGGAGCCCACGCACTCACTCGGCCATACTCTTGTTCTTGTCCTGTTACACAGTATCACTATTCATGATCTGGAAATTGGTGATTTAATTTTTTCGGATCATAACCCTGTGATGTTTACCTGTTCTATTTTAGATCAGGTTGTTAAAGCCAAGAAACATATTATTTGGTCACTTATGTTTAGCTCTACCTTTAGTGAAGATTTTGTTTCCCATTTTGATAAGGCTTGTATGCTGATTTCTCTTGACTGTCCCTCAAATAATTTAGATGCTGAACAGCAACTTACTCTATTTAATTCTACTTGTACTGAAATTTTAGACTCTATTGCTCCATTTCGGAGTTAGCAACTTCAACCTAAGGCAGAGTCATGGTTAAATACTGATACACAGGCTCTGAGATGAGTATGTCGGCACACAGAATGTATATTGAAAAAGATAAGTTGCATGTGTCATTAGAAATACTATGTACTTCATTAACTAACTATCAAAGAGCTGTGAAGGAGGCTAAGGGTGTATTCACAGCTGTCTTGTTTGGTTTTGGTTAGATTGAATCGACGTTTGTTTCCCCCTTTGGTGCAGATCTTTTGTGCAGGTGTGAATACACCAATCGCACTCGGGTGCGGACCAAACAACCGTACTGAGACCCAGCTGAAGAGGTGGTCTCGTTCCGCTTCCAAATGGACTCTGGTACGGTTGAATGGATGAACCAATGAATGGATGACCTTAAGCACACGTGTTGTTTTGTTTACAATTTCTGGTTCACTTGCAAAAAGGGCAGTGTGTAAGCGAACCGTACCAAACAAAAAAAATCAACATTGTTTTTGGTCCGGACCAAAGCAAGTGAACTAGTGGACTTTCCTGGTGTGAATACACCCTAAATCAAAGTATTTCTCTGACATCATAGCTAGAAATGATCAAAGACCCAAGATTTTGTTCTCCACAATTAACTCGGTTAGAAATCCTTCTATTGATCTGGATTTTGAGGACCCAGATACTGCTTGTGAATGTGTTTTAAGGTGCTTTACAAACAAGATACATGACATTAGACAGCTTATTGTCCCCATAAACTATGATCCCTCCTCTCTTCCGGTTTGCACCTCATCTTTTAATAATGCTTTTGAAACCATCTCGACAGATTCTCTTCATGAACTGGTTATGAAGTTAAAACTAACCACATCGGTAACTGACATTATTCCAGCACACCTATTTATTCAGGTTTTTGATGTCATTGAACCCTGTATCTTAGCAATAATAAATTTGAATCTTTCCGTTTAATTTGTTCCAGAATATTTAAAGCATGCTAAATATACTGTTAAACCTCTGTTGATAAATCTAGCCTTGATGCGACAGTTCTTTCAAATTTTAGGCAAATTTCTAATCTACCCTTTATCTCTAAAATCCTTGAGAAGGTACACTGTAAAAAAAATGCAACTGCATATTTTCCAGCTTACAAAACCTTTTGAGTCTCAAATACTAAAAAAAAAATAAAAATCCTTGTTAGACCAACAGAATTGAATATAAAAACCTTTGTCAGACCCCAAATGTTCTCCCAACTAGTCAAACAGAGCTGTCTGAACAAAGAATTTTATATTGCTGAAATGTTAAGGCTTTGTGAGTTCCCAGCATGCATTGCAATATGAATAAATTATGCAGATACTGTTATAGGGTCATTGTTTTGCTGTTTGCTGGCTTCATTCAAACTTTTCCGTTGTTGTTTTGTCATTATTGTTAGTTGTTTGTTGTGCAGTGATTTAAAGAGCTCATCTTTTTTTTACATTTGTTGATTGTCACCGTCGTTGAGGTTTATGTGTCAAGTATTGAACCCTAGATTATGATTGACTTTTCAAATCAATATTCTATGTAATTTAGTATTGTAAGATGTTTTATAATCAAAGGCAATGTGGTCCTGCAACTGCATATTTTCCAGCTTACAAAACCTTTTGAGTCTCAAATACTAAAAAAATAAATAAAAATCCTTGTTAGACCAACAGAATTGAATATAAAAACCTTTGTCAGACCCCAAATGTTCTCCCAACTAGTCAAACAGAGCTGTCTGAACAAAGAATTTTATATTGCTGAAATGTTAAGGCTTTGTGAGTTCCCAGCATGCATTGCAATATGAATAAATTATGCAGATACTGTTATAGGGTCATTGTTTTGCTGTTTGCTGGCTTCATTCAAACTTTTCCGTTGTTGTTTTGTCATTATTGTTAGTTGTTTGTTGTGCAGTGATTTAAAGAGCTCATCTTTTTTTTACATTTGTTGATTGTCACCGTCGTTGAGGTTTATGTGTCAAGTATTGAACCCTAGATTATGATTGACTTTTCAAATCAATATTCTATGTAATTTAGTATTGTAAGATGTTTTATAATCAAAGGCAATGTGGTCCAGTGTGGTCTATCACATTCCAATACGTTCTTGTTTCTGTCATTATAATCTTAATGGACTAAAAGTCCTTCTTTGTCATGCGTAAATAAACATAAAAATGGTAATGTGGTGACTGTTTACACATTCCTTTATTTCATCCAGTAAACAGAAAATAATAAGTTTACTCAACATCACTACCGTATTGGCCCGAATATAAGACGACCCTGATTATAAGACGACCCCCCTTTATCCAGATGTACCTTTTGGAAAAAGGCTTTTTAAAAAACAAATCTTGTTTTTTCTCAGTAAAACACGTTTTGTCTTCAATTATTTTCATATTGCATATTTTTCCTATTTCAATTTTTGTTTTCAAAGTATGGTAAAAACTGGTAAAATGTACCAACAATCGCATTTAAAAAAAAATACACTTTTTGATATACCATTAAAAAAAAAAAAAAAAAAAAGGTAGCCCATCTGAATTAGGACATTTAGGCTATCCATCTAATAGTAGCCTACCAAAATCTTATTAACAGTAGAAGTTAAATATTACTGTAGACTCCAAATCTGGGTACTGTCTTACGTTTTAAAATCACAAAGGGAGTTTGGTCCCATCAGGCTAACGTGACAGTCACGACTCATGCAGCTGTAAGGTTTTCTTCTTCTTTTATTTTTACTCGCGATCTTTACAACACGCATTACATTATGTATTTCATGGCACACTCGTTTTATGCGTATTTGGCGCCACCTATTGTTGTGGGTGTATTATTGACATGTCAAAGTCTAGACCAGTGTTTCCCAAACTTTTTTAGTCTCGGC